CGCAGGGGTGCGCGCCGAGACCGGCTCCCGCCTCAGCGGGACCGAGGGCTACGAGACCGAGGGCATCCGAGGACTTCGAGCCCTGGGGGTCAGGGAGCTGTCCTACAAGCTGGTCTTCCTGGCCTGTTACGTGGCACCGACGAATCCACGGGTGAGTCTGGGGGGGAAAGGGATGTTGAGGTAATGGTGGCTTCTGCTCTCTATGGTTTTACCTCAGATGAGGGAGCGGGAATGGGTAAAACTTTACATGTGTATGTGTGTCACCTTCCTGTGCGTTTGACTGTCTATATTTGGATTGGATTTATACAGCAAGCTTTTTTCCTTTTTTTTTTTAATAGGAGTTTTAATAGAGGTGATTATTTGCCATTATTATCAATTTATTCTAAAGAGCTAACCACTCCATTTATTTCCGTGCACCTTTCATACATTCCTGCAGCATTTCCTTTTCCACCAGGAAATCCTGTTGCTTCATTTTATCACAGGGAAAGCAGCAGTCCTTCTTGTTCACTCTTGTGTATCAGGTAACATCTTGGGATGCTACCACAACACATAATAAGTAGTACTTACTATGGCTGGGTCTAGCATGGCATGATATTTTAATCTAGAATTCTGCTGGCAGCTTCACCATCACACTGGATAAAAATGGCACCTGTTATTTGCTGAGTGTAGAAGTTTCCTGCCTCATTCTAGAGTAGTGAAAATCCTTGTAAATTCCAGTTAATGAAGAATGCTTACAAAGGCATGTTTTAGCCAAAGGAAGCCATCCATGCTGGTTTACTCTCTTTTTAATCTCTGGACAAGCATCTCTCCTGGGTAACTGAAGTTACCCTCCATTGATTTTGTCCCTGAGGAAATTATTTATTTTAAAGGTTTTTAAAGGTGTAAGGTGATGAGCTTCCTTAACATAAAGTCAGATTTTTCTGAATTGTGTTCCTCCCATTCAGCTTACAGAGTAAGTTTTTGTAACTTCCTGCCTGCACTCATTCAGTAGTAACCATGTTAGTACTTTTATTTCTTATTTTCTGGATTTCCTTTGTTTAGTTTGGTGGAAAAGAGCTCCGAGATGAAGAACAGACTGCAGAAAGCATTAAAAACCAGATGTCTGTGAAAGAGTGGGAAAAGGTTTTTGAAATGAGCCAGGATAAGAATCTTTACCATAACCTATGTACCAGTCTCTTCCCCACGATCCATGGTAAGAGTCTGGTTGTTTTCTCAGAGGGTATTTTCCTTGTGAAAATACTAATTGTTTTTGCTGTCTGTGTGGTGGCACTTTGGGAGAGCTTGAAAGCCCTCTGCCAGCTACCACAGTCTCCACCACTCTTGCTAGAAAAGGAGAATCTATTTCCTGAATACCTGCTGTATTAAATCACTCAGGCCTGTGAGACTAGTCAAAATGGTTGGGTTTGCTATTGGGTGCTACTACTAAACCCTAGAGCTGACAGTTGGATGTAAGCTCTGTTTATATGGGCTTCCTTCAAAAGATTTAGGGATCTCAGGTATTTGTGTGCTGTTATGAGTGCCTGTGTATGTATGCGTTTGCAGTTGTTTCTGGTTCAGAGCTAGTTTGAGGGCTTCTGTTGGTTATGTGTGAAAAGTTAGATCAAAATGTTTGAAAAGCTTTGAAAGCTGAATTCAGTCCATGTTCTGAGCCACTGTAGTGTAAAGGAATTGAGCCACTTTGAGTCATTTTTCCTTGAAACTATATCAAATACCTAAATGCAGTTTTAGTGGATGTTTAGCAAATAGGTAAGTTCTGAGCAGTTGTGCCCAAATGGTCTAAAATTCTAGTGGGCTGAATTTTTTTTTAAATAGGAGAAGTGTGGTGTTTTCTTTGGATTTTCAGTTGAGTGTCTTTTCTGGGGTAGGTAATGATGAAGTGAAACGTGGGGTCCTGCTGATGCTTTTTGGAGGAGTTCCAAAGACCACTTCAGAAGGCACTTCACTGCGTGGGGACATCAATGTTTGTGTTGTGGGTGATCCAAGTACAGCCAAGAGCCAATTTCTAAAGTAAGCCTCTCATTAAAACTTGGTATTTAAATATTGTCCATTGTGACCAGAGCTATAAATGTGTACTGTGCCTTTTCTACATTAAACAGAGGAAAGGGAAGTAAAATATTTAAGAATATTTTCCAGGAATTGTTTGGATGTGGTTGAAGGATTTGAATGGGGCTGAAGCAAACTCCACAAGCTCCTGTGGTAATGACAAAGAATGAATTAAGAGGTTTCTTTTTTTCTTGATGTGGTTTTGAAAGTATGAATTTCCAAGTATTTTTAAAAGACATTGGATAAGTCCTGGCCTGAGAGGGTGAAAGCAGCACTCCATTACAGTTACCTTGTTCTTGCAGGTTTTGATCTGACTTTTAAAGTTTGCTCCTCACTGTGACTTCTCTCTGTAGGCATGTGGACGAGTTCAGTCCTCGTGCTGTGTACACCAGTGGCAAAGCCTCCAGTGCTGCTGGTCTAACAGCAGCTGTTGTAAAAGATGAAGAGTCTCATGAATTTGTCATTGAAGCTGGAGCACTGATGCTGGCGGATAATGTGAGTCCAGGAACTAGAGAGGTTCCTCTACCCCTGGAATGGTTTTGATTAATGACAAAGAGCCCCAGATTGTCTTAACGATGCTTTTGTTTTCCACAAGTGATTGAATTTTGGTGACTGTTTTTATTCTCCTGCTGCAGGGGGTTTGTTGCATTGATGAATTTGACAAAATGGACGTGCGGGATCAAGTAGCCATTCACGAAGCAATGGAGCAGCAGACTATATCCATTACTAAAGCAGGAGTCAAGGTAGCTTGGGCTGGTCCTCTGGTTGCACAGTCCGTATGGTCACCCATTTGCTACATGTCTAGATCTAGTGTCATCTGCCAGATTTTCCTCACTGTGGCAGTTCAGAGATTACTTGCCTGCAAAGTTTTTGTGCTTCATACACAAAAAAGATCAGAAATGTTACTGAAGGGAAAAAAAAAGATATTGTAGTGGACAGGAAACAGAAAATGGGAAAATCCTAACCTTGAAGTAACCTCAAAAGAGGGTATAGATTTGTGTGTTTGTAGAAGTCAAGTCTATATTTATACTGTTAAGAACAGGGTGTTGTGAAAAGCAGTTTTAAGGACTTGTTTCAGTGTTGTTGGCAAGAGCGTCACGATGTTCGAGTACTCATTTATCAAACTGTCTTGGGGCAGAGACCTGGTTAGAAAGAGCTGCTTAGAAGAGTCTGGGCTCTTTCGAAGAGTGATACCTCCACTGAAACTCCATCTAAAGGACATTACACTGACCTGTTTGAATTGTAATGAGTTGGTTTAACAGGTGGTCACAAATATCATTCCTCTTTCTTTTCTTAAAAAAAATTGTGGGTTGTGTTTTTTTTTTTTCATTGTCAGGCTACACTAAATGCCAGGACCTCCATTTTGGCTGCAGCAAACCCAGTTGGCGGGCGGTATGACAGATCCAAGTCACTGAAACAGAACATAAACCTGTCAGCTCCCATCATGTCTCGCTTTGATCTCTTCTTCATCCTTGTGGATGAATGTAATGAGGTAATTATGTCAGAAAAGACCTCTGGAGTTCTCTAGTCTAACCTCTGGCTCAAAACAGATCATTGAGAACAGGTTGCCATGTCTTTGATCTACTGAGTTTTGAGTATCTCCAGGTATAGAGATTCTGCATCCTCTCTAGGTCTGTACTGAAATGTTTAACAATTCTCATGTGTTTACAAAATAGTAATTACTTTTGTATCTAACCAGAATTTCTCATGGCTCAATTTGTGTCAGTTGCCTCTTGTCAATCTGTACTTCTAAGAACAACTCTCCTTTAATCTGTAGCTGCCATTGAGGCAGCTGCTTTCTTTTTAAGCTGAACAGACCCAGCCTTTCCTTACACATCACATGCTTCTGCCCTCTGACCATCTTGTTGGCCTTCTGAAGTCTTAAGTGAAACTGATCTCGTGAGAATGTCTTGCTTCTGCTTTTCTTCTGTCTGTGAAGTTAGAAGCTGGCAGTACAAATTTGAGCACACTCTGCTGAATACAAGGATACTGCCTTTTCATCTTGTAGCAATTTGACCTGGAAGCTTAACACCATTAGTCATTTTTACAAATCACTGGTCACCAGGGCTAAGACTGCTACCACCTGTCTATGTGGTGTTTGCCTTGGGAACGCCTGAGATACAGAGATTAATGTGGGTTCAGCACTCTTCTGTCTGCTCTTCTGCCCAGAGTGATTATTGAGTTGAGAAGGAACTGATGAAAGAGAGCAGGCTGAAAAGGAAGCAAGCTGTTCCCACGCTGCAAAGTGCTGCTTTCTGCCTGTGCTATGACTAACTTGTAACCCAGGAGAGTTCTAAGAGGTCATAAATCCTAAAACTGCCTTTTGTCCTTTCCTTAAATTAAAAACCTTCAGGGCAGTCTCCTGGATCTTCTGGCAGAGAGTCTGGCTTCTGGAAAGACTAACTCTGCCATGAAGAGTGCACTTGAGGGAGGGGCATGGGAAGGAAGAATGTGCCTGTTGTTTGGGTATTTGGCTGTTGTTGTGCAAGTGACCTGACAGCAGTAATGTCCCAGGTTACGGATTACGCCATCGCCAGACGCATAGTGGATCTACATGCCAGAATAGAAGAATCTGTTGATCGTGTCTATTCATTAGATGATATCAGAAGGTACCTGCTGTTTGCAAGGCAGTTTAAACCAAAGGTAATTCCATGTTCTTGTGTAAGTTGTTCTGTATGAGGTCCAAGGGAGTAGTCACTGTCTTTTCCAGCAAACGTGAAGACACTTAATCTAGTGTTCTGTCAAGAAAGGAGCCATAAGCTCTAGAGTTTTTCTATGCTAGGGCTTCTAGTCGTCTAGAAACAGAGCATATTTTGAAGCCATGTACTCTTTTTTGAACTCCAGAAACCCAGCAGGGACTGTTGTAATCAGTAGTCTTCACTGCTTTGGGGGCAGTTCTTAACTTCTGTCTAGAACAATTGAGGAGTTGTCTCATAGATTCCTCACATCTCAAGGGCATGGGCTATTCAACATGGCTGCTGTAGAGATTCTTGTATTCTATTGACTGATTGCTTCAGCAAGCAGTTTGTTTGTCTTTATTTTAACAGGATATTGTTCCTCTATATTGCTTTGCTTTCTTTGTGGTAAAATGCAAAACATAAGCAACTGCCCTGAACAAATTTTTGTGGTCTATCCAAATAGCTTGGGACTGTTAGATTTTTTTAGAACTTCTTCCAGTGCAGTTCTCAAATGGAAGGAGAGGACATTTTGAAAACTCCCATTTCATTTCCATGTGGTAGGGAGTTTGTTTTCCAGCTGGATCTGTGTATGTGCAAATAGACTCGGATTAAAAAGCGTGTACAGAAAGCTGTAGTGAGTGTTAAGCTGATCCAGTGTATCGAGTGTGTGTTTGCATGCAGAATAAATGGGAAATAAATGTAGAACAATCTTATAGAGACAGACATGAATTGCACCCAGAAGCAAGTCAGTGGAACAGAAAAGTAGAAATGATCAAGAATCTGCTGTAAAGCAATTAATGCAACAATGTGCTTATTGTAAAATCATTGTTACTGTAATAATTATTACTATATAATTTTAACATAATGTGGTTGTCATATTTATGTATAGAATATTTCAGAGAAAAGCGGTAGCTAGTATAGAAGAGTCTGGGAACTGCCAATCTAACATAAAAAGAGTAAAGTTTAGTACTTTAAACGTGTCAAACTGTCATGCTGTCTTATGTCACGAAGATATCTAAGGAGTCTGAGGAGTTTATAGTGGAGCAGTACAAACGGCTGCGGCAGCGCGACGGCTCCGGGGTGGCCAGGTCGTCCTGGAGGATCACGGTGCGGCAGCTGGAGAGCATGATCCGGCTCTCCGAGGCCATGGCCCGCATGCACTGCTGCGACGAGGTGTGGGGGCTGCAGGGGGGGCTGTGCAGATCTTTCTGTAAATGTTGTGGGAGTTCTGCCTGTGCTGTCTGACTGGTATTCTGGGTGTTTCAGTCAGGTGGGTGGGTGGGGAGAGCTCAGATTGTGTTTTCCCTTGCGGTGTGGCCGTACTCGGTCTGAGTTTGTGTGCCAGAAATACTGCTTTTAAAGTGGGTCTTGTACAACTGAGATCAGCCATCCAAACTGAGAACGTGTGCGTTTTTGTATCAGCACTGCCAGCCTGTTACCTGTTAAATCATGACAAATTGGAAGAACAATCATCTATTAATGTCAGGCAGGGCTGTTGGTAGAGCCTCTCCTAATCTTGTGTAGTTCGTTATCTCACAGCTCTCTCCCCTCTGCAGTCTAAAGCCAAAGTTCATCACAGTATGTGAACCTCCCCCTAAGAGTACCTGTATTTCTGATCTGAGGAGCTCCTCACATTAACCAGTGCTGAAGTGTATATTGTCCTATGGCTAGCAACTATAGCGTGGCCATCAACCATCTCTAGTCCCTGCTTTAATACTCAGCAAGCGTTTTGAGATGTTGGTTAGAAGTTATGTGACACATGCAGTGACAGAAACTTGCTTACTGGTTCTAAAAAGAGCCTGATGAAATTCAGCTTGTGAAGAAGCAGATAGCTTTTAGCATATGGTTCAGCTAGAGATGATTTTTCCAGTTCTGGCTTTTCAGTTCCAGAGGAGTATCATTCTTTTTTTTTCTTATTGTTTCTGTTCAGACCCATTTCTTTCATATTTTTTGCTCTATTGATCTTTATTCAGAATGGCCCTGGGTTAAGTAAAAATTTTATTGACTTCACATGATCACTAAAGCATGAAAGACTCATCATGGTGCTTAGCTCTCCATAACTTTGTGTGAACTCGGAGTACTTACAGTGGGATGCAGTTAGACTTGCAGAGTCTTTACTGCTTAGGATTACTCGGGTGAGATGGGTAGAATGACCTTCTACCCATGTAGAAGGCCTGACCATGTCAGGTCTTCTGCAGAAACAGCTGAGGTTCTGGAGCTGTTTGGGAAGATGGTTTTAACACTTACAAGAGCCACCATGCCTATTTAGTACATGCCTTTTCAAATCTTCCCCCAGGTTCACCCAAAACATGTAAAGGAAGCTTTCAGGCTTTTAAATAAGTCCATCATTAGAGTTGAGACTCCTGACATCAATTTAGACCAAGATGATGAACAGCAAATGGAGGATCAAGGGGAACAAGATGGAGGCAATGGTAAATTACTCATAAAGAATTTTTTCAAAAGGGAAAATAATTCCAGCCTTTACAGCTTCCCGTGTTTGAGTATATGCTTCTCTTCAGTTTCTCACTGATTTCTCATCTAATAAGATCCAGGAATCTTTACTGCTGTTCTTAACTCTTACTTCTTCAACCTCCTTGTGGGTCCACTTACCTGGTAGGTCAATGCAACGCTTTTCAGTGGCTCAGAGTATTAAACAGTTAAAAGATATTACAGTTTTAAACCTGAGTATGTGTCCAAACAGGTGAGGCAGAAGCTCCAGCTGGGACCAATGGTCTTGTGAATGGGATCAATGGCCATGCTGAGGACGTGAACAAGGATGCTGCACCCAAAGCTGCTCTTAGACTGGGCTTCTCTGAGTATCGGCGAATTTCTAATCTTCTGGTGCTGCACCTCAGGAAAGCAGAGGAAGGTAAGAATTTCTTTATTGAAAAGACAGCAGACTCTAAGTTCAGGGAGCAGCTGTTACTACAGTGTCCCGAGCTGTTGCAGTTGGGATTTTCACTCCTGGGACACCAAACTTCTTAGGTGAGATGTGAACCTGTACATGTGGCTATACTACATCTAATGATACAAATAGGACTTCTTGGACTTTCTAGGTCTGGTATCTTAGTCATTAGTCAAAACCCAGTTAGTCAAGGAGCATGTTGACAGAGCAGATCCAGAAGAGGATTTGTAGCTGGTTTAACCTAGCTAAAAGAGTCGTCGGTAATTAAAAATTGTAGAAGGAGCTTTAGTGTATGCCAGTAACCACAACCTAGAGTATATACTTCATCAGTATGTGCCAAAGGGCTGCATCCTTGCTTGGAGAGATGAAATATTTCAGTTGCAATGAGGCTACTGCTGTAGTGAAATGCAGCAGTTGTCTCATAGCATGTACCAATGCTATGAAGTTTTTGGAAGGGTGTGGACGCTACAATATCTGTTCAAAATGCCAAGTACATGTGGAAGGATGAGTTCTTTGGCTTTGTATGACAATGACTTTCTTTTGCCCCTACTTAGAGGAAATCTGGACAAATCCTTATAGCTGCTTTTTCTTGAGGGCGAGGGCTGATGTGATTGCAAGGCCTCTCATTCAATTTGTATGCCAGCTGGATGGGTAGAACTGGAAACTTCAACAGAGTTCTCAATCTTAACATCTCCAGTTAATCTGTGATTCATCAGCCTCCTGTACAAAACATGATGATTTAAGAAACAGAAGGAAGTCCAGTGTTTCTTAAACATCTTAAAGTGTGTTTGTCTCTTCAGCATTGTAAATTTTGACATACAAAGCCTTTTCTCTTATGGTTTGAATGGTATCTTACTTCTGCTGTGTGTTTATGCAAATTATTTTATTTGCAGAAGAGGATGATTCATCATTAAAGAAGAGTGAGCTTATTAATTGGTATCTAAAGGAAATTGAATCTGAAATAGAATCTGAAGAAGATCTAATAAATAAAAAGAAGATCATAGAGAGAGTCATTCACCGACTTACACATTATGTATGTATAGAGATGTGTGGATAGTGTAAAAGGGTTTTAACTTATGTAGCGCAATGGTTCAATTTTAATAGAATACATTCCTCACTTGAGAAATATTTTGTGCTTCCATGTTATTGACTGGTGCAGTATAAAAGCCTCCTTTGTTTAATACCTGTTAAAAATAATTATAGAGAAAACAATGAAATAAATTATAAGAGATGCGTACAAGTAGAAGTTCCAAGCACCATATTATGTCCCTATAGAAGTGTAAGTGATACTTTGCTCTATTTCTACAATGTTAGTTATACATCAGGGTACAGAAATATAAACCAACACTTTATTCAATAGATAGCTTTAAGTCATGGGGATGCTGGGGCACTTTGAAGGAAAAGGTATGAAAATATAAATGACTTCACTTCTAGTGGTACAAAACCACTAGACTGAAGTGTTGCCAGAAGGCATACAACCTAAGAGTTTTCCATTGAATAGAATTGTTAACATCAAGAATCTGTTAAAGATTCTTCATTTTAATTGTTCACAATTAAAAGGGTTAAGTAATTAATCAATAAGAGGGGCTACTGGTATAAAAAGGACAAGCCTTTCAAAAAGTACAAAACTTCCTGTCCCTATTTGGATACAAATTTTTTGTCTGTTGCAGGACCACATTCTGATAGAGCTGTCCCAGTCAGGGCTGAGAGGATCCAGCGAAGTGGAGACTTTTGATGAAGATCCATACCTGGTTGTCAACCCAAACTATCTGCTGGAAGACTAGGGGCTGGGAACTGGACTGACTGCAGAGCTGACCAGTTACACGTTGGAAAATGCTTTCTTTTGTTGCAAGGGTTGCTGTATAGCTAACATCTTAAAGTCCTATGAATGCTTCACTGGGGAGTGTACCAATGTGTGGTTAGTAATATATGATTGCTCTTTTCCATTGAGCATACCTAGAAAGTGATGACAGAAGTGACACTTATATATTAGTCTCATTAATTCTGGGTTTCAGCACCATGATCCAGATGCAGAGGTGAATCATTCAATAGCTCTTTTCAGCATCAAGCTATCTAGATGCTTCTGTTCTAAATGAGAGAATTTTGCATTGTTTTTCTATTGTTTAGTGAAATTTTTATGCTATAGATTTTTACTGTTTTTCTTATTAACATAAATAAATTGTCATTAAATGGAGATGTCTGGGGGCAGATTTGTTGTCACTCGTATGTGGGATTGCTATTTTCTATGCCTGTGCTTTGAGGCTGAAAAAAATAGTGATCTAAATGTTTAATGAAAGATTAAATTTTCTGGATGACAGATGCTGGTTTTTGAGAGTTTTTTTTTAATTTCTAGTAATGGATAATAAGAAACTCTGATTGCTTCTCTTTTCTTTGTAGATGGACTAAGCCTGTGTATGTTCCTGTTACATAGATAAAATAGGAAATAAAAAATAGCCAAGCCCAAATCAAAGCTTTAAGTCAGGAGGTCAGAAATCCCTATCTTGATGAATGTCTTGACTTGTAAGTGAATTGAAAACTCTTATCACTTGTGAGGGATTTTTAAAACTATATTGTAGATTTTTCTTTAAGAAAATTTTACTTAAATTTCCATTGTTCTCAACTATTTGCTGTATGCTATGAGATTATTTAATAATCTTATTAAGAATTAAAAATACCTGAATATTTCTTTGCAATCTGATACCAGCATCAAAGAAAAATTTTTAAAAGAGTGATGATACTAAAGCTATATACTTGGTAAGAATAAATAGTGTGAAATAACTGTTTCTGAAGCACATCCAGAAATGGAGCTGGTTTGTAAGACAGGCATCTTCTGTTAGTCTCTCCCAGCCTTGGAGAGATGTGCCTTGGTCTGACTGAGCACATCATTAAAGATAACAGTTAGTTACAGTTACAGAATGGAAGGAATGATAAATACTTGTCACTAACAACACATCATTGGGCACTACCTCTAGCTGCAGTAACTTCTCTATTAATTTCATAAACTGCATCTTGGCAAATGCTACATTCTGAAAATATTTCCATTCACATATTACAACGGTTTCATTTTGTTCTGTATTGTTGATAATTTACTTTCAAAATAAGGACAGGAAGATGTTTGTACTTCAGTCTTTGATAATAAGTATTTTTCACATGGAGAAAGTAAGTAATTTTTCTGCTTCTCCCTCCCCATGTCTATATACTTCTTAGGCCAGGAGGGGATGTTCTGGGTTGACAGTGCTCTACTAAAAAGTAAGCAGCAGGTGGTGCTGCAAAGTTTATAGTCAAACTTAGTCAGACATCGGGGAGGGGGGGGGAAAAAGAGTAGGTAGTTCAGAACGGTAAACACAGTACTTCAGCAAGCTTTTCAAGGCTTCCTTACAAAAATACCTGGGAATAAAATAGGGTCAAAGAACACAAATTACAATCTCTGTGTGGGCTTCATTTGAGTAATGGCAAATGTAGAGAGATGTTTTCTACTGTAATTTAAATATTGCTTGACTTAGCAGTAGGTTGCCCAGATGATTCTGAGTATGCTTTAGACAAAAAAGCTGGTTGTTGAAGGAAATAAACTGGGAAATGTAACTGACTGCAATATAGCTATTATGTTTTTGTGTTTTGTTGATTTAAACATTCTATATTTAGGCAGTGCAGACAGCAGTTTCAGGTAGGTGTTCTCAGCTCTGCAATTTTGCTGTATTTGAATGTAGAAAAGTTGAGCTATCTCTTCCCTGTGGCGTGTATTCTCAAGGTTGAAGAAAGAAGTACTTTGGAAAGCAAGAAAATGATATTCGGATTCCTTGCTGTTATTTGGCATGAGGACATATGTTGTTCTGCTGCCTGAATTCACATAACAACCACTTTTCCAAGTGGGTAAGATATCACAGAATTATAGCCCAGACATGCCTCTTGCTGGCCTGCCTCCCCTGAGCCATGGTGGCACCCAGCTCCAGCAATGGAAATCACTGCTCTTGTTATGTTCTGCATCCAGAGCTGTGGTGGGATTCCTCTTCAGCCAAAAAAGGGCAAGAGGAGATGAAAAGCATTGTCTACTTATTTTATCTTCCTCTGAAATTGAGGCAGTATCAGCAAAAGAAAGTTGATATGGAAGCATAAGAGGGAACCTGAGCATGTCAGAAAGTGTTTCCATGTGACCTTTCTCCAGCTAATTGACCATGCTTTTTGCATTTATCCATTTGTTTGTCTATTGATTTAAATTCCTGATTTGTTATCATTCTGGTGTCAGCTGGTTCTGGGAGCATTTATCTGTGTAACAGATAATTTCAGTTAAATATTACTTCTACTGTAATATAAGTAGTGTGGAATAACTCTTTCTGAAGCAAGTCCAGAAATGGAGCTGATTTGTAAGACAGTTTTCTTCTTTCTGTTAGTCTCTCCCAGCTGTGGGATAGATGGGGATTTTGCTCAGAATTTTATTGCCATTGCTGGACCTCTACCCAGCCAGTTAAATAGATTGCATCTGCAAGACCAAGCCCTACCCAAAGAAGATCAGGGCCCTGCTGTGGCTGAAGCCCAGAGCCACCTATGCCAACAAGATCTTGCAGCCTCTGGGCTGCCCCGGTACTTTTCCCGCCTTCGTGGGACTGGGGTGACACATTACAAAGTCTTCCTGCCCTGGGCACATGTCCTTCCAAAGGGGGATGCCAGGAGGCCAGATGAAGCTCAAGTGTGGTGCTACCAGGAGCTGCTCAAGACCCTGGTTGCTGCAGGCCTCAGGCCAGTTGTAGTTCTGCATCACCAGCACATCCCTGATGCCGTGGCCATGCAGGCCATGGGCAGGAGAGCCAGCACATTTGTTGACCTTTTTGTGGAGTATGCAGAGTTCAGCTTCCGTGTTTTTGGGAACATGGTCAACGTGTGGCTCACCTTCAGCGACCTCCCAGAGGTCCTTAGAAGCCTTCCTTATGATGACCCCCAGCACCAAGCCCAGGCCATAGCTGCTGCTCATGAAAGAACTTACACCATCTACCACCAGAAACACTCATCAGCAGGTAAGGAGAAGGGAGAGGGATTTTTTTTGATGTGACTTTTTAACAAATATTTTGTTATGGGATTAAATGGCAGCAGCTACATGCAATCTCTGTGTGTGAATTTACTGTCAGTGCCCTCAGAATTACACAGAAATCCTTGAGTAACAGGTTCCTTCAAATCCCTTAATTTGATAATGGTTTTATAATTTTCTGATAATTGCATTTTAGGTGAAATGATAGCCAAAATAGTTGGGGATAATATATGTGTATGTGTGCATATTTTTATTTGATCTTTAAAACATCAGGGAAGCATCAAATAGTCTCCAGTGAATTTGAGCAGCAGAAATACTTCTGTATGCTTTTTCTTTAAAGGCTCTTGTTGGTGTGCTCTTAATCTAAAGACCAGCAGATGCCCCCAGTGAGCTGTAGCCTCATCCTGTTCATACACTGAACCTTAAATGTGTCATGTAACAGAAGTGGGACTGAGACTTAGTCAGAATCTGACCAGTCATCTCATTTTCAAAGCCTTATTACTTATTTCAGTGATACTGAAAACCAGTAGTCTCCTGTGAGTTGATAATAGTGTGAGGGAGTCTGAAGTGTCCTTTGTTTGACTTTCCTCATTGCAGACACAGGGATTTTTAAGTAGTTAAATCTTACCTCTACCTGTGTTACACAGAGCAAAATTTAATCTCTTTTATGATTGGTACCAAGGATTTTCTAAGCAGCTGTTCCCTTGGGGCTGCCTTCTTTAGGCATGGAATTTGTCTGTCCCAGGCAGACAACCCATAGAGCTGGCTCAGTCCTGGTTTTTTCAGATTTTTAATTAAATTTATTTATTTTTAATTCCTGCATTTGTCAGAAATACTTTGCAATACCATTCACACTTTAGAAGTTGCCCAGCTTCCCTCCCACATAATCTGCCCTCCCAGATTCCTGCCATCCCAGCATCTCAGCAGCATCTGGCACAGAATGGATTTAAACAAATAATCAGTGTAGAACCACACAAAGCCATGAAAGTAAAAGATATTACTTACAATTATGCACAGAGTGGAAGGGCACCCACTGGCAGGTGTGTTCAGATCCACCTTCCTGCAAGCAACAGTGCTAAGACGTTGATGAGCACTCATGATTAGATGAGATTTAGTTAACTGCTTTTGAATTTCAACCTCCTTGAATTCTGTTGAAATCATAGTGAGTATTCTGGAACTGGCTACCTAGGGCTCTGGTTGATGTTCCATGTCTTCAAAATTTTCCAACTGATTTTAAAATAACTGCAGTGAAATGGAATTTTTAGTTTGTCTTTACCATACTACCAATAGACAGCCTCTTCTTTTTTCCCCAAGGTGGAAAGCTGTCCATTGCTCTAGGAATGGATCATGTTTTGGGTAGTGCTTCATCAGAATTGCTGTCAGTTTCTCTCCAGGTAACCCTTTAGTAGAAATTATTTCCAAATTTATATAAATTTGATTCAATTTAACTTGATTTTTATGTACAGGATCAAGTGACTCGTTGCAAGTTGAAGTTAAATAAAATTTTAGCCAGTTGACCAATTGATCAATTTGGTAAATTTTACTTATTTGATTAGTCCAATCATGTGAAGTTCACTGGTTTTAAAAATTACTTCTTCATCCTTTCTTGGCTAGTAATCACTGATTAAAATATATGGAAACATATTTGCTCTTATAATTGGCATTTTTATCAATACATGTGCTTAAATGACAAGGTGTCTGCAAAAAGTGTACGTGTTATTTTCTTTGCAAATCTACTCAATGCACTGCCAAAGAAACAGGTGCTTCATTTTAAATAACTGCTATTTTAAAAAAATCTTATTTTGATGTTAAAAAAATGAGCTGTGATAAAAGTGTTCTATCTAGTTGCATGGGGCTGGCACAACATGAGGAGAACATAATCTCTGCATCCTTTCTGTAAAGACCAAACCCTCTGTTAGTAGATGCCTTCACTTTGAGGATGTTAATGTAGGATATAATGAACAAATGGGCTTTTTTTTTGAGTCACAATCCTCTGAAATTTAGTGATAGTGTAAGCAATGCCATAGGCATGACATTTCAAGGATATAAGCCAGGTGTGGTTTATAGGGAAAGGAA